CACACTGAACCATAGACCACAACTATCTGCTCATCCTTGATATTCTAGTAAAATTAAATTCTGACCTGGGGCAATTTTTTTTCCCCCTCTCAGATAATGAAAGTAAAATTGAAGTAGCATTTGAAGGAAAAAGTTTCTCATCAGTTGATCTGGAATAAGGTACTAGACTGACTCATTATTAATACAAAAAGTTGTCTCCAAAAGCAACTCAATGTAGTTTCCAATTCAGGTTTCAATAATATATGTCAAATTACATATTCATAGTCTGCTGCAGAAAGTCTAGAAAAGTTCCTTTTGCAGCAAACCAAAAGCCCTTTACTTTCTTTATAAACCCTAATTTACAGATTCTGTTCTCGCTTTAGGAAACAGAAAGCACTCTAAGAACAGAACTGATTTCAGTAAATACAGCGTACAACTGGAGATCTCTAGTCTCTCATAAATATTGATATGCCCTATTTTAAATATACTTATGCATATTATAGGCAGGTACGCTGTGTCAATCCATGAAGTTTATACTATGTTTATATGGATATGCACAGGAATCCAGGCAACTTAAAAATGCTTTAAATATAAAAGCAGGTCTAAGTCACAGGACACAGTGCTCACACAGAACAGAATGAAGTGGCAAAATTTGCTTTTGCAAATTTCTTACTGCAAGGTGAGCAAAATTGTTTTTTAAATATTTTTTTTTAAACAGGATGAAAATTGTTTCAGTTGATAATTAGGTTTTGTTAAAAATATACAAAAAACTCACCTCAAAACATGTTTTTAAGAAATTAAAAATAGTAAAAATATTTTAACCTTAATAAACAACTGTTGCAATATTTGCAATGGTAACATTGCAGGGTGACTTTGCAGATGCCTGGATTTCCTGATGTTTCATCAAGTGCCTGGGTTAAAACTGCAATACACTTCAGAAATCCAGACAGCCCTGACAGCAGCTGCAAGGGGTCACAGGCAAGCAGGACACGCTGCAGGTTCTGCAGGAAATACTGCCACATCAGACAGCACTGCAAGGAGGAGAAAGGCCAGGACAGATCCAGGTAGATCCAGAAACATAATGAGAAAAAGGCTCAACTTAGCAGAGCCTCTATCTAGTTACTTGTTCCAGCATAGCAGGTAAGTGCTTGTTTTACTTTAAGCTTTTATAGCCTACTGACTTTGGGGCAGGGCTTTAAAAAAAACTGCTCAGTATTACTGCACATAAATACATAAAAGGTAATCATGTACTTAGATGCCATGATGAACCAACACTGAACCTGTGCATATTTTTGTATCAAGAGCCTTCCTAGTAAAATACTGAAAGGTATTTCCTTCTGATGGGCAACACCAACCACCTTTCTAAATTAATGACACCATTTCCAAAGTTTCCTTTTAAAATAAAGTTATAGAAACTTGATTTCAGAACTCAATGAGAAGTGGAAAGTAAGGGATAAAAGGGAAATGAAAGCCCAAATTACTGCAAATGGCACTGTTAAACTTCATCTTTTCAAGGCCAGTTTGTAGAGCTGAGCACGGGAAAGCCTACAGGTAAGCATCAGTGACACGTTTACATGCAATCTATACAGAGCATATATTTGATCCTGTACTTGAACATACAATTTGTTTGCAAAGTTTCTAAAAAACAAGCCAGAAACTGTTGAGGGAGCCAGGATCTTGTAATGATGTTTATAAAAAACAGATCTCATCCACATCAGAACTTTTACGGCTAATTGGATCAGTGGCATTAAAGGGGCCCAGCTACCTTGTGTGCACCCTGTCATGCCCACTGAGTAGCATTCATCCTTGTAGTATTTGTTCCCATAGGGTAGAGGCAATAAGTTACAGATGTGTAAAGTTCTTTTAATAAATAATATACTATGCTGGCAAAACATCACGACTCATGATATGAAACAGGCCAGTGTGGGGCTGGGGATATACCAGGATATCTTTGTGAAGTACACTCACTGAAATATGCCTTGTCATCAAGAGTGTATTAAAACGCATACCAATATTTTTATATGGCAATACACTGCAAAATGACACCCATTACTGAAATACTGTTTATGTGTCAGCTTCAGGAATGTATGTGGAAGGATAAAGCTTCTGAATAAGGGCATATACGCATGCGTAAAGCCAGCAAAGCCTTCTCCATCACAACAGTAGCAGGCACCACTGAAACTATGATTTAAATATATAATATAGATATCTTTCATTCATACAGAAACAGAAAAGATTAAAAATAGTAGGCAAACAGTTACTATGAGGATGACTACATTTAGTAACTGACATTAAGTGCCTGGAAGAATTGTTCACAATAGGCAAATACCTGTGAAGCACCATCAAGTTATGAAGGATATGTTATATTTACTTTTCAGAGTGTGCTGAACTGGAATACAACAAAGGCTTTTCACCTTTTAGATGTACATAACAAATAAGAGAAAAAGGTCTTGAAACCAGGTTACCTTCATGCCCAAAATGTATCTAAAAATTTCACTTTCTTATTTCTTATTGAGTAATAGCAAAAATAAGTCAGCATGGATGAAATGCTGACTTATCCATCATGAATGGATGAAAAGGATCCAGTGCAACATTTTCATTTGCCATAGCAAGGTAGATAACTAGCAAAGCAGAAGAAAAACAAAAATAAAAACAATGCCTAAGACCAGAACACTGTCATTAAATGACCAGAAACCAAAAACCCAAAACACAACTCTTTCCATAGTCACAACACATAACGGATTTGCACGAAGAGATGTGGTTCGGAGTACTTTTATATTCAGCAATGACATTTAACACACCAATTCTAGGACACTTCAGAAGGAATTCTGTGCAGCACAAGTGGAACTGTCGAGTTTCTAAAGCTGCAATGTTTCAAGGGACTCAAATCATGAAGAAAAAAATAACTGTAATGCCTGCAGAAGTTACATCCAATTTTGTTGTTGCATTTTGCTACCGGTGCCCACCTAAAGCAGATACAGAATTTCTCAGCTGTTTTAACTTCCTCTGATACAAGAACTTAACTGTTTACTTTCTCCGAGTACTTGCAGCTGCTCTCGTATTTCATGTTTGAGAATGAAATCACCTCACTGCAGACACTCATACCCACGCCAAAACAAGGGTGCCAGAACATTAATGGAAAACTCCAACATTAGATATTGTCCAGGCACCCAAAAATGCTTGTGCTGGTAGATATGTAAACTGCACCAGCAGGGAGAGGGACCTAAGTTCAACAGCAATTAATGCCAAAAGCATCAACCTCCAATCTCCTCCTCCATCCAGAAATGGGCAGGTCTATTCCTTATTTAAAGCAAGCATCCCTTCAAGAACACGAAGTGAAAAATGTCTTTCCTGATTCTATAGCTAATAGGGATAAATAAGCATAAATAGTGCGCCCTTACTCATAAGCAACAGGAAAAGACAAAAAGCCTTTCCACAAAGGCAAATAATGACAATTGCAACTCCATTCAAGGTGAGGTCTACACGTGCAGTCAAAGCCAGGATTCACAAATCGCATTATTTTCTTCCAAAGATCACCCATTCCCAGACTGCCACATAAGCATTCCCGCTCAACAAGAGATTCATCTGCTCCCACTCCATCCTCACTTCCCAGTTCCTGCATAGCTTCATTAGTGCTATCCTCCTTATACTGATTTTTTTCCTCCTCAAGGATTTTGGGCAAGGAACCAAAAGCCAGACACAAAAGTATCACGGCAAGGAAACAACTGAGACTTGACTTTGGATTTGGTTCTTTAGACAGTTAGCCCAGGGAATTCTTGTGACTACTTAAGCAGAATAATATCCCCCAAACTATCACCCCACTACTGCCATCAGATGAGTATCTTAAGATTTAAAGTATTTTCTTATGATAAAGGTTTTTTCTATTCATTTGCAGATTATTAATCAAAAAATTACAAGATATTGCTGGGGAAAATAATGCATCAATATTACAGTTAACACAATATGTGGATAAACAGTTTGTATTTACTAAAAAAATATGAAAATACAGAATATAAGCAATTAAAGTGTAGCCCTTTAACACAGTACTCTAGCAGTGACCATCACCACAAAAATGGTCTGGAATAGATATAATCATTGCATTGGACATTTTCATAATTAAAATTCAAATATTCTCATTTTTTTCTCTGATTATGTTACCAACATGTGTGATGTGAACTTCGCATCTGAAATCCTAGTTTAAAGATAAAGCTTTTCTTCAAATTCATATGTTCCTTTAGATGAAGGGACATCAATTAACAAACATAGAAAAAAAAAACATTTTTTTTTCTGTTTGAAAGAAATTTCAAAAATTCTGAAAAAAAAAATCCTGTTTCTTACCCATGAGCTCTAGCTAATTTGGCTATTTTTATGCTTTAAGCATTGTCAATTAACTACTGCATGACAGAAACTTAAAAATGACTGTGTTTAATGTAATAAAAAGTCATTACAGCTCCATTCTAGTATTCCTGTTATTAAGGGTAAAAAAGCACTTTAACTGAAAACCTGATGCTTGCACATTGCCTTAAAAAAAAAAAAAAAAAAAAAAAAACACCCCTCTGTCCTACAGCAGCCTTCCCTTTTCTAGCTGCAAAGTCCATTTAATGCTATTTTATTTTTTAAATTAAGTGAAACCTACATTGGAGCTATCAAGCTCCGGAAAAGGTGAGCCTTCCTTTTTTTTTTTTTAATCCATTCAAAAGGACTCTGCAATTAGACTCTTCATCAGAGAAACCTGCATATAATTTGGCATTGGTAATGTTTACAGTTCAGTTCTGTAGTGTACTGCAACAGTTAGAAATACTTTTAAGAAAACCCTCCAAATACTGAGATGCTTATTGCAATTCCCTTTTGAAGATTCCAAAATCTTCTACTGACTTTCCACATAAAGTTTTTGTCTCCTTTATAACATTTAGCATTATCTATGCATTCCACATTATAATCGAACTGGAAAATACCACTTAGAAACAATATTTCAGTAAATAGAGGGTTTAAGGCAAGTCATTCATCTGGAAAAAAATTATTTTCCGTTTGTTAATCCTAGACTGACACATTTTTTTTTCCACTCCATCAGTGCCTTGGGATACACAACGTACATTCAGCAAGGGGCACACATATGACCCTATGGACATACGTTGCAAGTCCTGAGTGCCCATTGAAATAATGGTAATATCTTCATATAAGGCGTGACCCACAGGGACATGGCATGGGAGGGGTTAATCTGCTTTGTTTCCAGTCTTGCTATTGTGTGTGATTTTCCTAGGTAATGCATTCTTTTCTTACTAAACATCTTTGCAAACAAATACAAACCCCTTTAAAAGGTGCTAAAAATGGGTTTCTGAAAACATACAAAATATATTCATCATAGTATTTCTCAATCACTGTTTTAGTGCTTGATATCTGCAGGTAATTTCTTGTTTCTGATTGAAACTGTTATTTGTTGTGGAATAACTGTTCTTTTGCAAAACATTTTCTTCTTCTAGTGTTTTGGACCGCACAGGCTGGATGTTTTCATGCTTTTTACTTCCTTTTTGAGTTCTTTTCAATGGAAATACCAACACCACCAAGATGCTGGCAATATGAAGACAGAAATAGCAGGAGCTAAAAAAAAAAAAACAACACAAACAAGAATGATAATTCAGTAAAACTTTGACCACTCTTACAGGATGCTTAAGTAAATTGTCAAAACCCACTTGCACTTGACAGATTACACGTAAGAAATTTACATCAATAAAACATTAAATTCTCTTTTAAAACAATAAAAGGGAAATAAAAAAATCTTCCCTCGTGGTATTTAGTGGTGTAACAAAGCAGATAATATATTTCTAGCATCAGTACCAGAAGCAAGTGAAGGGAAACCTGCTTTGAACTATTTAGCTTTTAATGACATCCTAAAAGTAACTCTTATTATCTTGTCTTATAAAACAGGTCAGGGGCACAGAGTAATCTCAAATGTGACACACACCCCCACCCTCCACTCTTTTTTCCTTCAGGCAAATATAAGCCCATTACAGGAGGAAAAAAAGTGCTTTGATTTCTGAAACACAACATGAACTGTGCTCAGGTGTTGCAATAGAAAGACAGTTTAATCAACTAAAACATTGTTATAATCACTAAAATGAAATCTTTTGCAACAAAACATATTTAAAATTTAATTTAAACAAATCTGATTATATTTAGAGTAAGATTAAATTAAGCTTTTAAATTAAAGAAGCTATCAAGGAAAATAGGTAAAATGTGCTTACCTGTAAAAGGTGAAAGAAGGTTTTACAGAGAGCAGTACAAATGGCACAACTGTGTAACTTATTGCTAGTTGAGTTGCCATCCACGTTACAATATCATAACATAGTTTAACTGTAGGAGATTCAACAAAATAGTGTCTGATATTGTTTCTTACCTAAAAAAAAAAGGCAGGTAAGAAGTTAGATGCTACAGTTTGGACGAGTACCTTTAACCCACTCCAAAATAAACTGACTTCATTAACAACCAGTTCCAATTTCCTGCCTTCTAGAATATGATGCTTTGCCGTGCTCAGAAATTGAAGTAAATGACTGTGCCGCAGCCATTCTCACAGTGGACACCTCCGCTATCAACCCTCTGCAGCTCCAGGCCTCTCATCTGAATGTAGCAGACCCCACTTCTATGAAGCAATTATTCTTCAAATATGTATGTCTGTAGTAAATGAAAGCCAAAATGCTCCTGCTAAAAGCTTCTATATGCTAAGTCATTTTCATATACTTGCTAATAAGATACATTTTAGAACAAGTAGGATATAAATCATAATATTGCCCTCACTTAAGTGAAAACTATCTTAATATCCAGTTGTCTGAATTTCCAGTATTTTTCCTGTTGTGTTTTCTCCTTTCTGTTTCTAAGCTTGGAAACACATGAAGGTTTTCACAACATCAAGCTCCTTAAGGGATATGTGAAAATGGCCAATCTCCAAGGTCTCTACTCATAGTTCATTTTATTATTTTTAATTTTGTAACTCATTTTACTGATTGGAATTTGTTGACACTGGTACAATTTTTGATAGTCAGAAAGTGTAATTTCTATCAACTTTAGAAGACGGTTACTCATAATACCTATTTTTCTACCATTCCAATCAATCCTCTAATCCCCTGCTCCTTCCTTCCAGTTGAGTCATCCAAGATGTCTCAACTCTTCTGAAGTATGCAAGTATTTTCTTTCTTTTCCTTCTCTTGGCTCTCACCCTTGTAGACAGAAATCCAATCCAGGCTCTATCCGGTACCTGGGTTTCTGGAACATCCCACTCCTCTTGGGATTGCCTCGACAAAGGAAACCCTCCTCTCTCTATGAATCTTCAAACCAAGCCTTTTCCTTGCAAGAACTCTTCTGAGTACAGCCACAATTACCTATTTCACAGTCTCCCTCTTTTCTACAGAAGAATATGTGGACTTAACCCACACACATGCTACCACCTTTTAGGTCACTCTAGCTCAGCCTAGAGAGACTAACATTAAAAAAAAAAAGTCATTTGGTTCTATCGACACATTAGCTCCTGCCACAAAATACCATAATTTACTCTCAAAACTGTTTTTCCAGTTTTACCAATTTTTCCTAACAAAGAATAATGTCCATGTGATTTTTTTTCCTTCAAAACCCTCCACAAAACTTGTTTCTTAGTTAAGAAAAAAACACTTCACTTAACCAGACTGAAAATAAGCTGAAGCTGTCACTTGACACTAAACTAAATCACAGTCTCCCACCTTATTTTTGTCTTCCCTGTTATAGCCACTGATTCTTTGTAGCAAGAACTTTCAATGCAGTTCTGTAAGGCATGTTTACTTATTTTACTTACTTTAATGCATGGAAAGCAAATTCTTTTGAGCTGTTAGAAATTAACCAAATACAACCAAGAAAAAGATATTTAAAATGAAGCTAGCAAAACCGAGAGTAAACCCAAAGTGAAGAATTAGCCCATTGGAACCTGCACTTTCAAATATCCATTATAAAAAAAAAAAAAAAAAAAACACACATATTTTTTGGTTCTCTTCCCCCTTGAGCTCTCCACCTCTGTCTGACTCAGCTTTCTCGTGCAGTATTATAGGAGTTTTGCCAAATTTACTTGGCCAACATACTTCTGAAGGGCAACTGCAATATTTTTTTGATATTAATACATTGGTACTTGGCCAGAGATGGTTTATCTGCTGGTTGAGGTAGAAAATGTTTTAGCTGACATCTTCTGAACAGTACTGGACAGAAACTAGGGACAGGGGAGGGACTCTATATAGCATGAACCCTCACATTTAAAGTTCCTGGTCATCAGAAAAAGGTTTTTTTTTTTTTTTTCTTCCTCCCCCTCAACAAAATAATCTTAGATGACATCATCCCATAATACCTGATGAGTCAGAAGATAGGAAGAGCTTCCTTAAGAGATAGGTAGTAGAAAGATGCTACAGCCTGTGCAGTCTTGCTCGTTTCTACCTATTAACCCTCTTATCATTAATCATTCCTACCACTCTCATAACTAAAAAACTGAATGACAGTATCAGGGACTGTGTGTCAACTGTAAAACAGCTGTGATCAATTTTTGTTTAAAAAATGCTTAAGACATTCTTTTGATACTTACAGCTCGTGCTGCTAGCGTCATTAGTATTCCTGTTAAAAATGTTATATAATATCCTGGGTATACCCCATGCCAGATGGCAGAAAGAATGAAGGTTTGGATTGTTGGGCTGAAGGTGGCTCGCTCATAGCAGACTCTAGCAAGTCAAAGAAAATTCCATAAAATTAACATGAAAGACAGATTACCAACACCTTACCCATATATCATTTATATATTTACATTTCTAGCATCCATTTTCTATAACATACCAGACCAAGGCAATTATAGTAAACTGTATTAAATACCACCACCAACACAACTCCAAGAAAAAGAGAAACAAAAAACCTTTAAGTTACTTACAATTTCAATTTTGAGTTTCAGTGAAAACCTATGTTCAGTGCCATCATTTATGGTATTTTCTTATAATGAAGTGATACAAAAACATTTAAAGATAGGTGTTGGTGCTAATACAAAATTTCAAACCATCCAATGGTGTCTGAAAAGCAACACTGAAAGGCACAGCCTACGCAGCAAACTCTTGCAATGAGTCAGATATTTATTTCATAAAATGAAAGCAATGTATGGGAGAAGGAAAAAAAAAAAAACACACAACTGTCTTCAAATTCTAATTAATAGAGAGACTATTGTTTAAAATGTTTTCATGTAGGGCAATTGGGTGAAAATTATCACAATGAAATGATAGTTAATGGCTCTTGGGATGTGAACATAAATCAGGAAAACACTGAAATTGCTCTTTAGAAAATGAGAATCCAAAACAATACGCAAGGTCCTAAAGGAATTCTAGAAGGAAGACAGAGAAAAGGAGTTCAAGAAAGGTGGTAGCTTTCTAAAAGACAACATTAAATGACACAATGACAAACCATCATGATGTGGAAGAATGATAGGAAGCATGGTAGCGTCCTGACATGGCTTCATCAAGAGCTCTTTAATGATCTGAAAACCAAAAAGCAGTAGAAAATATGGAAACAGGAGCACATGAAAGTAAAAATAAACAGCAAGAACATGCACGAACACGGCTCTAAGGCTAATCCACAAAGAGTTCTAACAGATGCCACAGACATGAATATGCAAAATGCTATGTGTTCATAAAACTAGCAACAGAAAGACAGAGGAGAAAGCAGGTCCACTGTTCAAAGAGGAAGACAAGCTAATGAAACAGAGAACTGAAACATTCAATATACACCTGACTACAACTTCCATATATGCAAAAGATGGTTGAGACCAACTGGCATGGCAAATGTTGAAGAGCAGAAGGTAAAGACAGGATGTGATTAGCAAAAGAACTGGAGTGTATCCTGCTGCAGGGGCTGTATTCCAGTCAGGCGGGCGCTGCGTTTTCTCCTCAGATCTGAGGGCGCCTGCAGAGCCTCCTCCCTCCGGCGCGGCCTGGCTGCCGCCTCACGGCGAGCCGGGGCGCGCGCCCAGCACCCCACACTGACCCAGCTCGTGAGGCCCAACGCGGCCACGCAGGGCAGGGAGCCGGGGGGCCCCTCCGGAAAGGCCACAGCCCACGCGGCCTGTCCGTGGACGCGAGGAGCAGGCGAGGGAGCGCAGCCAAGAGCGTGGCTGCGTATTTACCACGCGCACGCGCTGCTAAGGCTCCTCAGGAATCAACACAGAAAGCAGCTTAAAACTTCGGTTATCAAACCTCAATAACTAGGCATTTAAAAATGGTACATGTTGCAGTACTGATATTAAACCAGAATTTATATCTAACTGGAAATCAGTGAACTAAGTCTCATTAATAAATCAGTAAATCAGCTGAGTCCCGATTTGTTCTTTTTTTCCCCTGAAAAGCATTCAGGAACATACAAAAATAACTCAAATTTCAGTTGTATCAACCCAAGTTAGAGAACAAGATATATAGTAGGATAGGAAAACAAAAATGCCAAAAAAATAAAAGCAATTGTTTTTAAACCTTCATGAATTTATCAAGGATAAGTCCTCTTGAAGCATTTCCTTAATACACCTAATAGCAACCCAAGGAAATACAGTCATCACAACAGGCTGAGAAACTCTATCCAAACAGTAAACAGAACTTATTTACTCTACAAGTGGGAAGATGCAACTTCCATTCCAAGCTTGGATGGTAGACATAGAAGCACGTAGCCCTTCTGCTGTCCTCCCTTCCCACCTTCCGTGGGATTGATGGGCTTTTTCCTTGGCAGATACAGGACTAGAAGTCAAAGGAATCTTAAAAGACGGAATGATGTTCCCAAACCCACAAGATGGAACAAAGCCCAAAGTCTAGGACACCTAGGAAGTAACCTCAAATAGAAGATACAAGGCAATGTATGCAATGTTACTGAAAAAGCAAATCCCAGCATGGATGTGAGTCAACCAGATTAAAAACTGAGCATCAGCTGAACCACCAATAGACTGCTAGGCAAAAAGACACATGTAATATTGTGAGGTATTAGCAAATATATATCTAAAGAAAAAATGTAATCAATCTGGTCCAGTCATATACCCAGACCTCAACAAGCCAGGAGGAGCTGGAGATCCTGGGAGAAGTACTCTACATCCACAGATAAAAGCTAAGAAAACCGGACAGATGCCAGAGGAGAGCACAAGAACTACGGAGGTTTGGCCAATATAACCACAGACAAATGGAATTAGTTCTCTGATAGACAGTAACGTTTGGAAAAAAAGAATGAGCAGGGAGGGAACAGAAGAGCTTTTCAATCAGGAAATGTTATCACAATTTTTATACACATACATAATAAAATAGAAAATTATATAGAGAGTATATATAAAATTACATATATAGTTGATACATGCAACTATGTAATATCTATTTTAACTATTTACAGTAATACCTTTGAACTGCTATTTCTGTGATCTACATTAAGTTTTTATTAAATTTCTTTATGATCTATAGCTCAGCTGCTTAAGAGCTGTTGTCAGCTCTATTTTTTATCCCCAATGAGGTTTTGCAAGTCCTGTGATTTGGATGGATCCTTTTTCAAGATCAAGAAGTAATGTTTTGTATGCCTCGCATTTCCATATTTCCTATGAGAAATAACTAAGACTGTGGGTAATTCTACAAATGATACACAGGTATTAAAAGTGATAAAGTAAAACATAAGCTTGTACTATTTGAATTACTGTACCACACAAACTAATCACACGATTGATAACATACACTGTGTGTATGGGCCTCTTAATAATAATGAAAAGTGATCATTTACTCACAGTGAAACTTTAAGAACCACCCTTCTCCCTTACACTGTGGAAGAATAAAGATGCATATAGGTTATCCTCACAAGATTGTTCTTCCTACTCTTAAATATACTCATTAAAGATGCTTTTTGCTAATTTATCTTAGCATCTTCTTTTGGTCACCACACAAACAATTGATTCCTATTTTTCTTTCAGTTCAACAGAAAGTTTTCTTTCAGTTAAGCACTTCGGTAACAGAAATGTTACTTCACTCTCCATTAAACGTTTGCTTTTAAAATCATTTTGTTTAAGAAATTTGAAAATTCATCGAAATTTGACCTTTCTCTACTGTTTCAATACTGATAATCCTCTTTTCTTGTTCTGAACAAAAAAATAATTTTAAATAGCTGCTTTACTAAGTGATGAGCATTTAATTCTTTCTTGCTTACTATCCTAGCAATGGAGTTTGTCTACTGAGCCCAACTAATCACAAAATTCAATTTACTAATCACAAAAATTATGTTTTCCACAGCTAAAAAAAAAAAATTAAAAAACAGAAGCTAACAGAAGCAAAGAGGACAAACTCCGTAAAGACATTTGATGGGAGAAAAACCCTGTTCCCAGCCATCCTAAGTCCTCTGAACTGTTCCCAGGTGGGTTTAAGTCCAACTCGCAGCTTTTGGTAGAAGAGCACCTATACAGAGACTGGGAAAAGGGAAATAACACCGGTGGCTCTACTACACTCAAGAAAACTTGTTTTTTTTTTTGCCACAGTGAAGTGGTGAAAGCAGAATGAGCCACTTCACAGGGCACTAGGTCTGTTCTCCAGGCTAGGGGGGAAAAACGCATCTGAAGACCATGTTGAGCAGGCTGTGAATTATTTTGATAGGGCATCCTGGGGCTTCATGTTGGCAGCACAATCATTACGGAAGGAGCTAACGAGTTCCCTCTCAGGGCACAAGGAAGTTCCTGAAGCACCGTGTGGCTGAAGAAAATCAGGGCATCCCCGGAGGGCACCCAAAGAGGTGGTTTTGCACAATGCTCTCAGCAACATGGGCTGTGTGGGGAGCGAGACTGGGGCCGAGGAGGGAGGCAACAGACCCCTCTATGAATCAGTACTTTTAGGCTCCTTCTGACCAGTGGTAGAGAGTTTCTATCATTACCTGATAGTTTACACTGAAAGGTAAGTGCTAAATTCAGAGGACTTCAAGTATCACACAAGAATAAGGACGTCCCATGCAATTGGCTGCACAGCCACACCGTTCTGAGGATTTTAGCTATAAACGTTACATTATCTTCATAGACATATTTATTTAAAACTTCAGCACAGAAAAAGCTTTCCTTGAAGGAATAAATACCTTTTAAGCCAAAGAGCTGTTTGAATATTCCAGTTATCAAGAAACATCTTGAAACTTGTGGAAAACTGTAAAATGAAAAAAAATATATTTCCATGATTGTAGCATGTCATTAAATATTTCAGAACTCTGTAATATAAATTTTAAGAGGCTTTGTGATAAGGAAACCAAGAATTTACTTAACCATTTATACATATAAAAGATACTAAAAGTTGATCAACAAGTAAAACATAGCCAAAACAGACTGCATTTTCCATCCTTCGCAAGCATAGGAAAACTTCTGCTTAATAACATATTCAATATCTTGAGAAACAAACTGTATAGGAGCAGCTAACCAAATTCCGAGCAAATACCTTGATGAGCATGTATTTTATCTGAAAGAGCCTTGAACAAACCTCTATTTGCTGGATTCTCAGGTTTGATACTAGATCCCAACGTGTAGCTCCATTTTTATCATAACCTCTAAAGCCAAACCCTGCGGCATTATTAATTGCATCTGCTGCAATGAAATAAAAAACACAAATTAATTACAAAACAGCCTATATCACAACTATGCATACTGCATAATACATAGTTTGTTCACAATATTTATCACATCTTGGAAGCTGCATTTTTTTTTTAAATAGAGAATCACTGTATTAGACACTTGAACAAACAGGAAACAACCCAAGCAACATGCTGTCTTTCAACTAAACAAATCTTACACTAGAGAAACTAAAAATAACACCATCTCACAGAGGTATCTGCTTTCTCCCATACAGCCCACTTAGTTTTACTTCATGCTCTGCTTCAGATGGGCCTCCTTGAGCAATTGGACAGAAGAACAAAAACCCAAGGAAACGCACAAAGGCTAGGAAGTGCTTCACTATATATTGGTTACATACAATTACTTGAGGTAGCAGCTCCCTATTCAGGTATTCATTAAATAATTATGGTGATATTTAAAGCATAAAAATTACTATCACATGACGCACTTCAGACAGGTGCACATTTATAGCACCACATATAGATCAGTAAAACTGTAACAGGAAAACAATAATTTGGTCAGTACTAAATTAGCCAAACTTCAAAAACAAGCTGCCAGGATTTCCACTGGTGGCCCAAGACTCTTGAAAGTGACACCTCCAAGCCTCAAGTTTTCACAGTGACTATCAGAGATCAGATTCTTTCTTTAGGACTATCTCGCTCCCTTCAAGAAAAGGTCAGCTACTGTCATTTAGACTGCATGGGAAATAAATTTTGCCCTGAGTACCACCTATGAATCTCAGTGATTGCCTTTTCTTCAGCTTTGTTAGCTCAGATGCTAAAGCCTCCTCAAAGTTCTCAAATTTTGATTGCCCAGAAGGGGGAGTTTCTCCCCAAAACACTGCCTCTGCTGAGCCTGGTTGTGGGTGCACGCACCCAAAGACCAAAAGCACAAGGCAGACAGGTTAGTCAAATGACCGTGTGCAAAAGGACACCCGCTCCTCTTCTAACTAAGAAATTCTTCCAATTTCCTAAAGGACTGGAAAGTGAGGTAGACAGAAAGCTCTGAGGTAGCAACACAGACCAAGTCATGGAATCATTATTGTTGGAAAAGACCTTCAGGATCGAGTCCAACCATCAGCCCTTCAAGACCATCCCTGTTCAGCCATGTCCCTAAGCACCTCATCTGCACATATAGAATCACAGAATTGCTATGGCAATGAGTTACAGAACAGTAACTCTCAGTGTTAGCTCAGAACTCACCTAGAATTAGTGTTACATAGTTATATAGCGTTACTATAATTATATATTTCCATACTTTATAAATACTATTAAATTACAGCTACCCCTATCCTAACATTTGCTCATAAATTTACTTTACACAACAACGACCTGCAATGAAATTCTTCTCTCTTCTCAACAACTTGACACAAGGCACTAGTCCAGTGTATTCGGAATGCAAGAGAAACAAACATCTTCCCTTCTTTTCCAAATACTGTATTTTGAAACTTAAGTTACGTCCACTCTAACAGGCAATTACCTCCTGTTCAGATTCTCTTAATAGAGATGGGGAGAATTTCTATTGGGAGAACTTCTACTGGTCTGCAGGCAAGTTTTCTGACATGTGATTTAATACAGGATAGTTTATAACATTTTTATTTCCTCTCAAAAACTTATGTAATTTTAAAAGCAACAAAATTTGTTATTACGCATTTGAGATCATGTATGTCAACTTCAAACATTACTTGATTTTCTGCTCAATCAGAAACAGCTGAAGACATTAAACACTACTTTCTAAGGAATACAGCACAGCTAGAATAAGTACTCATTTTATTATCACTGTAGTAAGTGTTCCGTTAGTAATTCATTCTATTAACAGAATTACTTTAAAGTGCAAAGAATAACAAAGTACAACTCAGAAGTCTAATATTTGCCAAGAACTTAAGGACACTGCACATTCTATTCACACCCTTGAGGTTACTACGAGGTAGACTGGAAGGAGGAAGGCCAAAACAAGGTACTTGGCAAACTCAAGCACAGAGCTGATGCAGTTCATGTTCTTCAGTATTTGCCAAATAAACACTATAAGCACGTATAATCAGACTGCCCAGAGAGCAACTGTGGAGTCTCCTTCTCTGGAGATCTTCAAAACCCGC